GGAGACAGAGTAACAACACTCTCGGACTTGGCTCGTGGCGTTGGGACTGCCACTTTCATTTTTACAACTTTTGGGTTATTGAACTAAGTTTTTGGTACTATAACAACAATTTTAATCATACCAAGCTTTAATTTCAAAAAACGGTCGATAAATTCACGAAAAACACAAAATTTCAAAAAAATTTTAAAATTTAAAAAAAATTGAAATTTCAAAATTTAAAAAAAAAATTAAAAAAATAGTTTTAAATGTCTAGTTTAATCCATTTCGGTTAAAACACCCTCCCCTAATCCTTAATGAAGCCCAGAAATGAGAGAAAAAATCGACCGGAGCAGCTGTCCAACCTTATAAGAAACCCAGAATAAAGTCCAAAAAGCGTCGATTTTGCGCGTCAAACAGCGCACATGAACACCATAATTAGGAGCAATAAACCAACTTTTGCTTGTTTTCTTGGATTTTAGCCAAAAAATTTTTAAAAAATTTAAAAAAAATTTTTTTTTAATTTAAAAAAAAAAAAAGATTTTTTAATTTGCTTTATTTTTAAAAAATATTGCCTTCTTTAGTGTTTTAGCCTACCTTATATTAAGTATTACTTTGATTCCCTGCCCTAAATATACCCCTAGCTTCATGTGTAGCTTGAAATAAAAACTTGCCCTGCCCTAAAAATCTACCCCACCTTAAAATCTATCTTCAAAATTTACTTTAAAAGTTACCCTGCCATAAAAATTTACCCTACTTTACAAATTATTCTAAAGGTCCACCCTACCCTAAACATAACCTTAAAAACCCACCCTACCATGAAAACTACCTCAAAAATCTACCCTGCATTAAAAACTGCCTTCAAAATCTACCCTACCTTTAAAATTACCCAAAAATCTACCCTACCCTAAAAAACTACTTTCAAAATCTACCCCACCCTAAAAATCTACCGTTCCCCATAAACTATCCTCAAAATCTACCCCAACTTAAAACTTACCTTAATGATCTACCCTACCCTAAAAACTACTTTCAAGACCTACTTTATCTTAAATCTACCCTACCCTTAAAATAAGCTTAAAAATCTACCCTACCCTAAAAACTACTTTCAAGACCTACTTTATCTTAAATCTACCCTACTTTTAACATAAGCTTAAAAATCTACCCTACCCTAACAACTGCCTTCAAAATCTACCCTACCTTAAAAATTACCCTACAGATCTACCCTACCCTAAAAACTACATTTAAAATCTACCTTACCTTAAAAATTACCCTAGAGATCTATCCTACCCTAAAAACTGCCCTAAAACATACCCAACATTAACAACTTCACCCAACCTAAAAATGTTATTTCCACAAACTCATAAACAATATCAGAACATCAACATGGCCGAAACCAAAGTAAAATACCACATAATGATATGTATATAATCGCATTAGGCCCTCGGAAAACGTGCATAATCCCGGCTCCCGCTCCTCAAACCCCCACATCAACAACAAACATCTGTCACAATAGAAGAATTGACGTTTGTGGAGGTAAAGAGACCACTTCCGACCCGCAGGCAAATAGAAGAGTTTGAAATTTGAAATTTAAAAATTTTGTTTTTAATTTGAAATTGATTCAATATGGAACACTTTTGATGACTAAAAATTATAAAAATTTGGTTTTTGTTACCTACACTAATAGAAAATGGTGTTTTAATATCTAAACTAACAAAAATGGCAATTTTGATACCTAAAATAACAAAAAATAATGATTTTTATACCTAAATCAACAAAAAAATGATGATTTTGATACCTAAATTACTAGAAAATAGCGTTTTGATACCTAAAATAACAAAAAATGGCGTTTTCATACCTAAAATAATATAAAATGTGCCCTTTCTTACCTAAAAAAATTTTCAAAAATCATTTTTGAACCCTAAAATTATAAAAAATGACATTTTTATACCGAAAATACCAAAAGTAACCCAACTCAATACCTAAAAACATAAAACAAACCCAAATCAATACCTAAACTACAATTAAAAACGCCAAAACGCGTACGCCACTTGAGATTCCAAGGACGTCTCCGATCCAAGTACTAATCAAGCGCACCGTTGCTTAACTTGCCAGATCGGACGGGATGGCGTGCGTTCAACGGGCTATGGGCGTACACATTCGCCTCTCTTTCATTTTCGAAGGCAATTGAAACGAAATGTCTCATTCTCTCCGAAAGGCCGTTTGTCGACGTTTTCTTTTGGTTTTACTCTGATTTTTGAATATATTTGGGTATATTTTGGCAGAAAAGTATCAAAAAAGACTTTATTTTTAAAGTTTTTTAAATAATTTAACGTATTCCTTCTATCGATTTAAAAAGACAAGTTTTTTGAAGTAAAACCCTTTCATCGGTTAAAAAAATCAAAAGATAACCTAGTACTTTTTCAAAAATCACGCCTAAGATATATATACTTTTCAAAAACAGAAACAGATGATCTTCATCGTTGAAGCAGAAGAAATTCGCAAAAAATTACGAAAAAACTGAAGAAGGAATGAGGAAATCCGAAGGCGGATCAAGTTTTTCTTTCTTTTATGCTACATCAAGTGCAAAATCTGCGAGCAATGACCAGAGGGGATATTATTATAGTTTCAAGTTATGTTTTAAAAGTCTTCAAACAGTATTAAAATAAAAGTTTTTAAATTTTTTTTTCGACTGGTCGATTTTTTAAAATGTTTTTTTTTCGACCGGTCGTTTTTTATTTTTTTTTTGCCTAGTCCATTTTTTAAAAAATCTTTTCAACCGATCGATTTTTAAAAATTTTTTTTCAACCGGTCGATTTTTAAAAAAAAATTTTTGACTGGTCGATAAAAATGAAAAAAAATCACGGAAAACTACTTACCGCTTATTATTCTTGACCATAGTTTTCCCACTGGTAAAGCCACCAGTATAAATGGGCGTGATCGGGTCGTAATGTGCTGTGTCCTTTGTGTGCTTGATTGGAGCCGTTTTCAAAATTTTCTAAAATTTAAAATTTGATTTAAAAAAATAAAAAAAAAATTAAAAAAAGTCCAAAATCACGCCGAAAAAGCTCTAGCCCTATCCCAGAGCCCTAGCCCAGAGCCCTAGTCCAGAGCACTAGTCCAGAGCCCTAGCCCAGAGCCCTAGCCCAGAGCCCTAGCCCAGAGCCCTAGCCCAGAGCCCTAGCCCAGAGCCCTAGCCCTAGCCCAGAGCCCTAGCCCAGAGCCCTGGCCCAGAGCCCTAGCCCAGAGCCCTAGCCCAGAGCCCTAGCCCCTAGCCCTGTCCAGAACTCTGGCCCAGATCCTTAAATCAAAGTACAAAACGTTCTTCTAAACGTATATTCAAGAATTGTACACAAACATAAATAATAAAGGCAAATAATCACATGATGTCACACGTATGAACATATGTACATTATCATTATTTTGCAGCTTTAAAACCGAACAAACAAATTAAAATACAAAATTTAGATGTTTTAGATTTAATAAGGTATGAAGAATTGAAAGACAGTTTTAAAATGGACTTTCGATTACTGAAAAACTTAATATCAAAACTTGGCAGCTTCAAACTTTTTATGCTAGTCTAATATACCAAAACGAATGAATCAGATAAATATTATGTATACGTACGTAAAGAATGGTATAAAAATAGAATGACTCACTTCCAAAACGTATACAATAACAATTAAATTTATAAAAAGGATGAAAAAGCAACAATTCTTTAAACTTTGGTTGCAGGCCTTAAACACGCTTAGGCTTAGTTCGTCTGCAGGCCTTAAACACACTTAGGCTTAGAACTAAGTTGATTTATGGCTTAGGCTTGAGTTTAAGTTGTAGCTTTAATTAAAGTTTAGAGTTAAAATCAAACTTACTTTGTTAGGCTCAGCTTCAAACTCAAGTTTAGATTTAGGAGAAAGATAGAGTAAGGCAAGGATATAACAGAGTAGGGCATGAATATGCCCTGCAGACATATAGAGCAAGATCCCAGCACTCGCAGTCATTTGTTGGGTCGTTTTACATCGAGGCAAATTTTACAAAAGTGAACATTATTACATAAGAAAACGTTGCGTAATAACAGTTTTTGCCATTTCTCTACGGCTATGTTGTTACATGTCAATTTCATGTAACAAAGCAATTTACGCTGTTATGTAACAAAGATGAGAATAGAGAGAACGTGTTGTACATCAGAGTAGAGCAGGGGTAGAGTAAGGCAATGACAGGGTAAGGCAAAGGTATGGTAACGCAAGGACAGGGCAAGGTAAGACAAGGAAAAGTTAAACAAGTGTAAGGTAAGGAAATGGCAAAGTGAGGCAAGGGAGGGATAACGAGGCCTATTGCAGGGTAGGGTAGGGTAGGGTATGGTAGGGTAGGGTAGGGTAGGGGAAAGTAGGGTTAAGAAAAGTATAGTAATGTTAAGGAAAGCCCAATATTTTTGTTATACTACGCAAAATATAAAACCCCACTGTACCCTTATCTAAAAAACATACTCACATAACATACGAGCCCACCGCTCAGCCCATAAACAATGCAAAAACAACCGTCGCTAATTCCGAAGGAGGCGGCGAGCGAGAAAGGTACGGCCAGGTGCGAAACCCCCCCAAGGCGAGCGATTCCCCGCAGATTTTTCGGGACGGCTCTCGAGTTTAAAACTCTCAACGTTCCGTGACGTTCTCTCGGAACGTTCCCTGTGGTTTTTTGCGCTCTTTTCAAATTTTTTCAATTTTTTTTGAATTTTAGGTAAGGGTGGGTCTTGGCAAAAAACTTTAAAAAATTGAGGTAAATTTATACATTTTTGGGCAGGGTAGCGATTGATATCAAAGGAAAAATATCTAATGAACAAAGTAAAAACATAATCCATAAGAATTCCTATCAGTCCACGCTAAAATCTGCTAAAAACTGCCCTTTTCCCTTTCAAAACAGTACTGTTTTCGAGAGATTTCAAAAGATTTAGGCGCGAAACTTCACTATCGAGAGCCTTCCAAACGAAAAAAAAGAATTCAAAACATCTGCAATTTCAAAATAATGTTAACATGAACATACACAGCTACGAAAAAGTTGTGGTTTCTAGTTTGGATGGGTAAGGAACCTAGAAATATAAGAAATATTTTAAAACTATAAAGTATTAAGTGTTCACATAATTCTGTGCCCCACTCAGAGCGAATTTTTATGATTATGAGGCACAGAATTATATGAACTAAAACCAGAAAGACTAAGGCTAAGGCTAAGGCTAAGGTTAAGGCTAAGGCTAAGGCTAAGGCTAGGGCTAAGGCTAAGGCTAAGGCTAAGACTAAGGCTAAGACTAAGGCTAAGGCTAGGGCTAAGGCTAGGGCTAAGGCTAAGGCTAAGGCTAAGGCTAAGGCTAAGGCTAAGGCTAAGGCTAAGGCTAAGGCTAAGACTAAGGCTAAGACTAAGGCTAAGACTAAGGCTAAGGCTAGGGCTAAGGCTAAGGCTAAGGCTAAGGCTAAGGCTAAGACCAAGACTATCATTCATCTTGTCTGTTCTATGTATTATATTAACCATGACGTCAAGACTACAAAACTACGTATTCGCTCGCTCTTTCTTGCCATTATTTAACTAATATCAACTGGTACTACCACTTACTTGTTGAGCTAATTTATCGTTTCAAAATGGGTTCGAGCCCGCCAGACACAAACATCAAATTAAGAGCGTAAAGAATCAAAAATACAAATTTAAACGTCTTTTTTTTCAAAAATTTTAGGAAAAAAATATAAAGGATGATAAATAATGTCACAAAATACAATTTTTGTCAAAGTATAATATAGTTTGTATACACTAACATAATATAAACAAAATTTCAAAACATTTATGAAATTCTTCCTCCAATGACTCATATTTATAGTTTATCTTTCACAATATTTGTCATAAGAAAGAAATTTGCTGACATTACGTCATTTTTCAAAAAAAAAAACAAAATTTAAAAAAAAGTTCGTAAATAAGGCTGCCTTGCTTAACATGAGGAACAAGCCGAATATGAGCAAAATTTAGGTCAAGCCGGGCCAGAAAATCTCAAAAAACCGGTACAGTCCAAGAAGCCCGGCCCGGTTCCACGTAACAAAATTCAACCCGGTCCTTTCCCCTTTCCTTGCCCTGCCTTTGCCCTGTTTTTGCTCTGCCTTTGCCTTGTCGTGCCTTGTCTTGCTCAAAAACTAACTAAAAATTTAAATTAAGCCTAAATCGGCCTTACAATAAAAACTAAGCCTAAAGAGACAACAAAATAAGTAAAAAATGTAAAATACGGCACAATATAAACAAAAGTATTTTCAAAAAAAAGTAAATAAATTTTATAATAAATAGTAATATCAAAAATAATACCTTTTCCCAATGTTTCATTGGCTTAAAAGTGCAACTTTACTTTCAAAAACTAGCCATTGGCCTTATTTTTAATATTAACAGCATTTTTATAAATCCTGTGCTGCCTTTCCAAAAGTGCAGTTGTTGGTTTGTCTAATTATTTTACCATTTTTACTAACTTATAACTTACATTGTATCCAAATGTCAGTTTTTTAAATTACAAAGGAGGTCATTTTTAATACCTAAAGTTTAATTTCAATTCTTTCTACTGGCCAGGAGATCATATTGAAAGCGGCCCAGGCTGCCTGAAAATCAAAAATTATATTTTTGTGACTTAAAATTACAAAACATGCTATGTTTTACATTTTAAAAGATGTAAGCTTAGCTTTTAAGCTTAAACCTAGAAAAAAACTAACATTTTCATACCAAAAATATCAAAACCAAGCCATTACTATACCTAAAAAACAATAAAAAACGCCAAAATGCGTACGCCACTTGAGATTCCAAGGACGTCTCCGATCCAAGTACTAATCAAGCGCACCGTTGCTTAACTTGCCAGATCGGACGGGATGGCGTGCGTTCAACGGGCTATGGGCGTACACATTCGTTTTCCTCTTTCGTTTTCGAAGGGAATCAAAAGGGAACGTCTAGACGCGTCTAATTCTCAATTCTCTTGGCAGAGCCGTGTTTCCACGTTCTTTAGTTGTTCTCTAAATTTTAGAAAGAAAAATGAAAAAACTGTTAAACAAAAAGAGACAACAGAGTCTTTGGAACTTATATACAAATATGCGAGAAAATACCTCTCTCCTTGCAAGAGATATAAAGAAAATGCGAAAAGCAGCGCGCATACCTATAATAACAAAAGAGACCTCCAGAGCTCCCGAACACCTCCAAAATTCCCTTTTTCTCACTCGAATAACAAATGACAGTTTTATTTAGAGGCGAAGGAGGGACAACATCTTCGGTTTATTAACCCAAGTTTGAGGTTAGCTCATGTTTCGGCTCTGAACTCTCAGTGGCTGATCAACGAGAAATTTTGGAACGCTCTGCTTATTGTGGAGCATATACAAAATACTGTGACTTACTTAAACTCTCTATAGTTAGACATGAAAAGGGGCACATTCGGCTCGGGCTATGAATTTATATTAGGAGCCGGGACAAGGTTTGAAACATTCCATAAATAATGTTCTCTTGCCACACGCTTATCATGTTAAATAAGGTTAGGGCTGAGCTGAAGCTAAAGCGCAGACTAAGGTTAAAGCTAATATTAAGGCTAGAGCTAAAGCCAAGGATAAAGCTTACGCTAAAACCGAAGCTTGGGCCTAAACCTAGGCTTAGACTTAATCTTATGCTATGGTTTAGACTTAGGCTTCAACTTCATCATAGGCTTATTTCTAGGTTTAGTGCTTTTAGACGAGAAATATGTTGTATTTGGCCTATACTTGTAGGTCTGAGCTTAAACTTACTTTCGCTGTTAAAGGTAAAAACTAAAGCTGTGGTAAACTTTTATATTCATAATAATATCCCCGCCCCCTCCTTTCACTATCAGCTTCTCTTTATTTCCCCCCTCCCAACCTCGTTTCGCCCCCATTTCAAAACAAAATGTCTACCAAACCGGAACCAAAAACAATACTTCCCAGCCGAATCCGTAATTAAAACGTACAAAACAGCATGGTTAATTGTAAGAACAAACAAATTGAGGGATGAGGAAGCTGTTGGCACGACCGAAAAACGGCACGGGCCGGCACTTTTTCACACTGTTCTTTCTGTCTGCGAGTCGAAAATGTTGCCAACAGTAGCTTTCGGGCGGTGCGAGTAGACGGGTCAAAGATTATGTTGGCATATATTATTGTTTTGGATTTGGTCTTTTGAGCTTGAGAACGTGGTCAGTAAGGCTGGAGGTAAGGGGGGCGGGATAAAAAGAAAACAACCTTTAAAAAATTTTTTTTTGAAAAACAGATATATCTGATTTTCCGAATATGAGTGAGCCAAAATTTTTAAAGTTGGTTGCTTTGAATGGCTCATTTATATTCGGACAACCAGATATATGTAAAGTACCTTATCTCTATATAAGCAGCCCAAAGGAGCCGACATTTTATGTTTACTATACCTGTATAACTTACTATAGGTAAACCTGTAAAGAGGCCGGGCTCAATTTTTTTGGTCCAGCCCCTATAAACTTTGCTTGGACCCGGCTCCTACTATAAATTCATAGCCCGAGCCGAGTGGGTCCGGCCCCTAATATAAATTCATGGAACAGGCCGAGTGGGCCCGGCCCCTTTTATAGATTCATGTCCCGAGCCGAGTGGGCCTCCTTTCAGGTCTAACTATAGAGAGTTCACGTCACAGTATTTTAAATATGCTCCATAATAAGCAGAGCGTTCCAAAATTTCTCGTTGATCAGCCACTGAGAGTTCAGAGCCGAAACATGAGCTAACCTCAAACTTGGGTTAATAAACCGAAGATGTTGTCTCTCTTCCGGCTCTAAATAAAACTGTCATTTGTTTTTTGAGTGAGAAAGACAGGGTTTTGGAGGCGTTCGGGGGCTCTGGAGGTCTCTCTTGTTATTATAGGGGTGCGCACTTGCTCTCGCTTTCTCTTTATATCACTGGCGTAGTGAGACGTAATGTTTCGTATGTTCGTATATACATTCAAGAGACCTTGCGTTCCCTTTATACAAGCATACGAAAGAATACATCTCTTCCTGCTAGAGAAATAGGGGAAAAATGAGAGCCAGCGCGCACTCCTATAATAAAAAAGAGACCTGCAGAGCTCCCGAACACCTCCAAAACCCTGACTTTCTCATTCGAATAACAAATGACAGTTTTATTTAGAGGCGAAGGAGGGACAACATCTTCGGTTTATTAACCCAAGTTTGAGGTTAGCTCATGTTTCGGCTCTGAACTCTCAGTGGCTGATCAAAGAGAAATTTTGGAACGCTCTGCTTGTTGTGGAGCATATTTTCATATGATATTATTACAGTGGTCTCTCTATATAGTGAATCATCTGTATAAGCAACTCTCCTTATAGTAAACAAGAAATTTGGCCCCGCCAAGTCGATTTGCACTAAAAAGTCTCTCTGTAAAGACAACACCCCCTATAGTAAATACAAAATGTCGGTCCGTGTTACTTATGTGTATAGAGTACCGTATATGTAAAAACCGTTAAGATAGCTCAATAAAGTAAGGTAAAACATGTATTTTTAAAAGGTAATTCAGCTATGTAATAATAAGCTACAATACTTGTTATCACTTGTTTTAGGTACTGATAGTAGAACTGAATCTTTAAAAATGCTCATTAGAAAATCAAGTCTCTCCCAAACATGGTGTATATGGTGTGTTTATTAAAATAAACTGTCAAAATAATGATTAAGGCACACGTAACGTTAAAAAAACCATTTTCCTTCTTATACAATAATATATTAGCACCATCATTGATATAAGAGTCGAAATATCATTTAAATGTTGACGCTGAACTTTCGAAAAAAAATTTTTGATTTCAAAATTTCAAAAACGCTGTCTAAAACTAAAAATTTTCAAAATTTGTTACCTAAAAAATGAAATTTTAATAGATTTGTTACCTAAAAATGACATTTTTCAAAATATTTTTTTTTCAAATCCAGCGTTATAATAGAAAAAGGTATGAACACTATGTATATTATCGAATATTACAATAATTTGACAATTTGAGATTGAAAAAACTTAAAAAAATCATTTGCGTTATATAAAAATACCCGCAAAACAAAATAAAACGATCAGCTATGACATTGAGAGGTAAATGTTCGTATCATACGATGACTATGGTCATTGTAAAAAATTTTGTAATATAAAAATGGCTTTGGGCACCATATTACAGTACCAAGTGGTAGAAGGTACCATGTTAAAGTACCAAATGCCTTAATATAGTACTAACTGATATATAGTACCATATTATAGTATCAAACAACCGTTGATACGATATTCTAGCACAGAATACCATTTTTACCCTACCACGTTATATAAAACCTAAAATACGACCACTCATGTCAAGCTGATCCCAAGAAAAGACGAGGTCTCGACTGTTTGCTGACTATAAACAAAAATGCACTTGTCATTAACATACTATATAGTACGATACTAGATAATTATATAGTACAATACTACACTAAAATCAACAATCTAGTACTAACGTACTACACTATAATGAATAGCCTAGCACCAGAGTACAAAACTTAAAATCATAGTACAATACTAGTATATTATAACATGATACTACCAATACTAATATAATATAGCATGATACTATTAAATAAAAAAAGAATTGAGCAACGTTCTGACTGATTTGTGTTGTTACTGTTGGTATATGGTGGCGTTGAATATTATGGTCGACTAGAGGTTAGGCCGGTCGATTTGTGGTGGTTAGTTCATTGAAGCGACGTTGGAGGTCCTGAAAATCAAATAAATTAAAATTTTTTGAAACCAAAAAAAGATTTTTTTCAAAATTGAAAAATTTTTAAAAAAGTTTGAAATTTAAAAAATGTGAAATTATAAAAAAAAACGTTAGATCCACATCAAACAAATGCCACTCTCACACGGTTTTAAGAAGATTCAAGACCAAAGATCTTCATTTTCAATGAAAAATCAGTTTCAAACACAACAAAATTTTTTAAAAAAAGTCAAAAAAGTTCGAAATTCAAAGTTCTATTTAAAATAGAAAACCTTATAACCAGGAAAGAAGCTACTGATTTGTTTCTGAGGGGAGGTGGAAGATGGGAGAGAAAACAGAAAAAACAAAAAAAAATTTAGCCGACAAGGTAACACTAGAGCTAGAAATAAGGCTAGAACTACGGCTAAGGCTATGAATAGGGAAAATATAATAAGTCCAACCATTCTCTAAGTTTTTTCAAATTTTGTAAGTACAGGAGGTCATTCTCGATTTGTTTTTTCAAATTTCGTTGATACATGAGTTAAAAGTGAATCAATTCCATTCTTCCCCGCCCTTCCCTCACCCCCTTTCCTAGCTAAGTCCCTGCTTATATCCAATGCAAAATCAAAAAGCACACCTTATAACTATAATGGAACTCTGTATAACACACTCCTGTATCACGAACTTAAGTACAGTGCAAGTCTGTATGACAAATCGTTTAAGAAAAGTAGTTCGTTTTGAAGAGGTTTCGTTATACAAACGTTTCAAATGCATTGTGTAGTGTTAGCTAGGAATTAAAAAAAACGTTCGTTATACAGGGTTCTCTATATGAAGGCGTTCATCATACAGAAGTTCCACTGTATTTCAAAAAAAAACCAATCAAAGCACACCAAACATAGGACAATGAAAAATTACCGGTTAATCAAGTGCTGTTTAAAAGAAAGGCCCAACTCGGCCTAACGCTTTACTGGTGCTTTTTGGTGGGTGGTGGGTTTTAGGGGCTCCCGCCTCTTCCGCAGGCTCTATAACAAACGAAATTCATTAATGAACGCGTGTTTCAACATAAAATGGCAGCGTGAGACGTGGAAATGAAAAGTGTAGTAGCGACAAAATTGTAGTAGCTAGTCCAAAGAAGTCTTAAAAGGTCAAGGAATGCTTGAGCAGTAGCTTTTCAAGATTTTTTTAAAATTATTTTGGGCGGGGTAATGTTTACAATTTTTTAGGCAGGGTAATTTTTAAAATGTTTTTTTTCAAATAAAATAAAATTTAAAAAAATGAAGGCAAGATATATTTTTGAAAAGAAGGGGGAGGATAAAATACCTTTTTTTCCAAAAAAATACCCCGCCCAACCCCTCTTCTGAATACACAACTCCTTCCTATACACTAAACCTTATTTCTAAAAATGATCTATGAAAAATGCATATTTGCAAAAAAATCGACCAAAAAAAAGAAATCGAAAGCGACAGCAAGAAGAAGGAAGCACAAATGTTGATAGAATTTTATTTGACCACAACTCTAGACAACAACATTAAAGCAATATTAACAAACGCACAAGTTTTACACGTATTTTAGATCACAGAGACAACAAAATATGAGGTTGTGAACTGAATTTGCAATTAACTTGAAAAATTTCAAAAACAATAAAATCAAGTTCAAAATTTTAAATTCGAAAAACCCGCCCAAAAATCAAAATTCTGAATTCTGCTTAAAATTATTTAAAAATCAGTCGCAAATTGAGTACACAACCTCCTCTACTATAAAAACAAGTTGAGTCACCGTTTCTACTAAATATAATACCGATACTATTAAGTTGTTCAACTAATTCTGCGCCCCTTATTAAAGCAAATTTTCTAAACTAGCGGGCACAGAATTACTTGAACAATTAAATATTCCACAAGACAAGTGCCGTGAAGCTAAAAATAGCAAAAAAAGTGGCTGTATTAACCCTAGATTACTGTAGTTTTATCACTTTTTTAGGCTTAACCAAAACTTTAAAAAATTTTTTTTTGAAATTTCAAATTTAAAAAATTTATTTTTTCAAAATGAAATTTTTTAAAATTTAAAACAACGCTCAAGGTTACTCGTATTTTACCCCAAAACCCCTTAAATCAGTGATAAAGCTACAGTAACCCACAGTAACACCTCTAGAAATAAGCAAATTCCGTGAGATTTACCTTCAACGAATCCATGCCCATTTGTACAGCTCTTGGTATGCGTGATGGTGAAGGTGCTGATCGTCGTTCTAACGGTGATTTGTCCAGGGTTGGGACGTTCGTTTTCAGAGAATCAAAGCGAATCGTGCGAATTAGATCCGCAAACCGCAGCAGGGCATCAATATCATTTGGGTGAGCTGAAAATGACAATTGTAGTTGACTTTTTAATAAAATTGAGACTATTTTAATACTTAAAATTCAATTTTGATATCTAGAACAGTCCCAATATCAACCTTTGTTAGCCAAAACAAACCTCAAAAACAACTTTTATTACCTAAAATAATAAAAAAAGCAAATTTTATTACCTAAAATAACCTCAAACTGCCATTCCAAACCCCTATCAATAACAAACCCTTACATTCACAATAATTCCTGGCCATGTTCATATCGACATCCTTCAAAACGTGTCCTTCGTCCGATACTCTCTTGGTTAGTTGTGCTTTGAGCTGTTCGATCGGAGATGGATTTTCATTTTCGGCCGATGAATTGGCACCATTATTGGGAGAGGGCAAGGGTGGGGAGGGTACGGGAGTGGGGTGTCCGTTCTGAGAGGGAGTGTCCTCGGATTCTGACGGCCTTAGAGAATCGGAAGGCTCTTTGTCAGTGGCATTCAGCGACAGAACCGAATTGGACAGAGATGAAGAGTCAAAATTCTGCTAAAAATTTACATGAAAACTTTGTTTACAAAACATAAAATGGCAAAAACTTTCTTTACAAAACAAAAAATTTCTTCACCACTACAAAAAATCCTTTTTAAGCCTAAAAGTCAAATGAAATAACAAAAACTTACACTCATTGACATTAGTTGAAGCTCTAAAGCATTACACCTGGCCAAACATAGCTCGTAGTCCTTCTGAAGTTCAGCGTATTCAAAATCTTTTGCGCTGAAAAATAAAAATATTAAGATTGTTACCTAAATTTGAAAAGACAACTAAAACAAAAAGAAATCTAAAAAAAATTATGCTTTGTCACCTAAAACAACATATAAACAATTTTTTATAAATTTGATACCTAAAACAACTTAAACCCAATTTTTTAGATCATGTGCTACCTAAAAACATCAAAACAGTTTAAAAACGCCTTACCGACAAGTTTCCTCCAGCTTTGTAGCCATATTTTCGGCGATACGAACTCGTTCATGAAGATTGTTAACTTCCTTCTCGAGTTGATGAATCCGCTGACGATACAAAGTCGACGCTGAATCGTCCTCTTTCCTGCGCTAAAACAACAGAATTAACAAAAACTCAAACACAAGACAATTTTACCTTCAAAGTTTTGAAAAAACCCGCCATTTTCCAAAGATTTTTCGAAAAACAATGCTGTTTATGAAAAAATTGAAATTTCACAAAATTTTTAATTTCGAAAAATTTCAAAAACTTGTCAAAACTTACGTCACGTTCCGTTTCCAGTTTTCTAATGTCATTTTTCAGTTTATACCGCTCCATTTCAAATTTCTGACGGTCTTGGTTATTGGCCATGTTCAGCTCCTTGATTTTGATGTCGTTTAGCTCATTTGTTTCTTTTTCTACTTCGTACCTAAATTTATTAAATATTACAAGCTTTCCCATAGTCTTTTACAACTTCTCGTTAGTTTTCAGAAAGATCCGTTAATTTTTTTAGGTACAAACAGGACTTTAAGTAAGGTTATCCATCAAATGTCCAGTATAACATAGTTTTTAGAAGTCAAACCTAAAATTCAAACAAAAAAAGAGAAAAAACCTACAATTCTTTATAGTAACTGAGCTCCTGCTCAAGTTTGGCAATCCGATCCGCCGTCATATTGTTATACCTTCTGACTGTGTCAGTAAAATGTTATGTTATCTTCAAAGGTCGTTCGTATATCAATATGTCTTCTTTGAAAACAAAATCGTCTGAAAATACATAAATTAACAAAGTGAAATAACAAGCAATACAAAAGATTCAAAAACGATACAATAATATTTGTCTTTCATTCAAAAAACAATAAAAAGTAACAGAATCCCGCAATATCAAGGATAACATCGGGGTCATGAAGAAGAACTGATTGAAAAGCTGTGTAAATATTAATGCTTTAGCTGGATATTTAGTCAAAAGATAGTAAAAATATCATAGAATGTTAATATCACAAAGAAAGTGTAAAACTCAAACGGTAAAGTGATGAATTTAATAATATTATATTATCATAGACATCAAGTCCACTCCAAAACAAAAAAGTGTCATATATCCATAAATTTTAGTTCAAAACATTCAAAAGTAAATTTCAAAGATGCTTCAGAATCTCCTCCACCTTATTTTGACCAAAACAATCACTAAACTTTGACCCAGAACTTTAGAGCATCACTTTTCCCAAACAATCCCAATCACAACACTTTCAATAAACCCGTTTCAAAAATCGAAAATTAATTGTCAAGATTGTCTCATTTTCACTTCGAATACTTCATTCCTCTTCGAACCGATTCAAAGATCAATCAAATGCAAAGAAAACTGCAAAAGTGATAAAATTCCCCTCTCGACCTACAACAATATCAGAATCGAATCAAAATTCAATTGAAAATAAATTTACGAGGTTGCATACATTATGCGATATAATCCAATCCATATGCGGTATTCGAAATGCACAACGTTTAACAAAAAGGACAAAGTATTTTGGCGAAAAAATGCTTGGAATTCGAGTGAGACTTGGCACTTTTTGTCGGAAGTAGCGCGAGACTTGACGCAGAAAAGTTTTATTTGAATTTTGATGGATTTTGGTGGAAGTTTGATAAATCTCGATTGAAAAACGAATGGATTGATGAAAAATTGTTTGGAAATAATGTGAACTTTGTTTTTAGTTCAAAATAGCTTGGTTTTGAGAGGTGAATCAGCTGAAGATTGGGAGAACTAGCATACGTCATAGATAATGTAAAGTAGTTGATGTTTGAAGCTAGATAACTCAAAGGACGGGCTTTAAAATTAGCTTAAATTTTGCATTTAGTGAACTAACGGTATACTGATTAGTTCTGCAAAAAAATAGTTTGAAAGGTGTGGTAAAAAAGAATTTCATCAAGGGTCATGGATAATATAGCCTGGTGATGTTTGATAACTTATAACTTGATGTGTAGGGATTAGATTCAAATGAAATTTTGTGTTTAGACTAACATTGTTTTGATAAGTTAAAGTGCAAAAAATTAGCTGAAAATGTTTGGTGAAAGTTTGTAAAAACAAATAATCATCATGTTTAATATAAGTTGGTGATAGTTGAAGCGTCATAACTTAACGCGTTGCAATTCGAAATGACTGAAATTTTGGCAATCTATAGGTTATAGTATTAGTTATTGTTATACAAAAACTCAGCTTTTAAAAACGATATTAAATTCACTGATTTTAATTTTTCTCCAAACGCCTTAGGGTGTTTATCTTACTATTAACAAAAAGCCTTTTTAACTGTACCCTCTTTTGATCCCTGTACCTCCCAAATCAAAGTTATGAAGTATGGTTGGTAACACGAAAATTTACAGTGAAAACGCGCGTTATCTCGGTCGGTGTTTTAAAAATAAACATTGAAATTCGCAAAAATTTGGGGCATTCCACCCCCGAAAAATGGGGTCTTGAAAACGGGAAAATTCGTGGGTAAATTCTTGGAGAAACTGCGAATTTTTAGTTTTTGTGTTGATTTTTACAATGTAAAAGGCGGAGGTCGTTATATTGTAAAGTTGGGGTTGGTGTGGTATCAAATCGAGGGTGTTGTTCATGTGATATCAGCGTGGGCAGATAAAAAGCGTACAATAAGGTCAAGAATGATGAAAATTGAAAACAAGTGACAACATTGATAAAAGTTGGGAAAATGACAAGAACTTTCTTTATAAAACATAAAATGGCAATAACTTTCTTTACAAAACGAAAAATGACAAGAACTTTCTTTCCAAAACATAAAATGGCAAGCACTTTCTTTACAACTCATAAAATGGCAAGAACTTTCTTTATAAAACAAAATGACAGAAACTTTCTTTACATGACAGACCTTATTCTGAAAAACTTTTTATACAAAGTCCAACCCGTTCGCTAAGCCCTTTTGATTACAAATCACATTAGCCAAAGCATTTCATTATAAAATCACATTGATTAGCGTGTTTTTGGATGGATACACCTCTTTCTAATGGATTCCCATAAAGGTAGTAAAAGCAAGGTTAAGGTGCGTTTTTGCAGTTTCAAGCAAAATGTTATTGTATGGGTTTACAATAGAAAAAGCGGCAAGGACGGCGGTAATGTGAAAGCACGATCGAGATTAATTTTTGAAATTTTAGCTTTGTAAAAAAAGTTCTTGCCATTTTATGTTTTGTAAAGAAAGTTCTTGCTATTCTTTGTTTTGTAAAGAAAGTTCTTGTAATTTTTTGTTTTGGAAAGAAAGTTCTTGCCGTTGCGGTTCATCAAGACAATTTTTGCAAAAGAAATTAAAATCCACCACCCTATCCCTCCTCCCCGCTTTTTTAGAAATTTTACCCTGCCCTATATAAAACCTTAATTTTAGGTTGAAAAGCCCTATGTTACAACCTATGACACTGCCATGATAATTTATGAACTTTCTACTCAATTTCGTCCCTATTTTCTCTTCCAGCTCATCCAAAAAGATATATTATAGTAAGTCATCCGGGCCGAAGAGGAAAAGAAACATCCTAATTTAATTTTCCTCCGCATGACTCGTGTTTTACTCAAAATACCTCGCCTTAATGAAAAAATATTCTTTCACAAAAAGTAAAAAAAAAATTTGATTATCCACCCCGACCAAAAAATAAAAAAAAATTTTACCCCACCCTCAAAATTTTTTTTCTTCAAAGCTTAAAAAAATTTTAAAAATTACCCCTTCCTTTCCACTGCCCAACCCCGCAGCCCAAAAAATAAAAATTTTTACCCCGCCCTTCCCTATTGCTGCTCATACCCTCATATACAATTACATTAATGAAGAAGCGCCCTCTCGAACAACAATATCAAGAATGTGGAGTGGCGGTCGATTAAAAAAGAGTCGATTTTCGTTGTTTCTTCCGCGCTCTCTCTAATGACAAAAGTAATCAAACAAAACACCAGAAACACCCCAGATAACACTAGTGCGGCTAATTTTTGTTGCGAGGATAAGAATGAGGAATGGGGGCTAATAAAAACTGCTGGGATTTGGGAGGGGGGGGGGAAGGCGAGGGGATGAGAGAACATAAGGTGATTAGTAAACATTTTGCAAATGATGAGGTGGGGGGGGGGGGAATATGAAAAAATAAAAAAGATAGATAAGTTGGGATAGGGTAAAATAGGTAGGATAAGGTAGACACGGGGAACGGTCCGGCCTTGACCGAAATTTAGGTCGGGCCGGGTCTAAAAAATTACTCTCACGTAAAAAATATGGGTTAGGCCACCTCCTGAGCAAATTTATAGGACCGGGCCTAACACTCAGGCCCGACTTGCGGGCCTAGTCTGAAAAATGGGATCGGCCCGTTTCCATGTCTAAGGTAGGATAGGGCAGGATAGGGTACAGTAGGGTACAGTAGGGTATGAAAGGGTAGGGTAGGGTAGGGTAGGGTAGGGTAGGGTAGGGTAGGGTAGGGAAGGGTAGGGTAGGGTAGAGTAGGGTAGAGTAGTGTGAGATAGGGTAGAAGCAGAGGACTGATTACAAAAATAATTGCAAAAACTTTCGTTCCAAACCAACTCCCAGCCCATTTCATTAAATTAAGCGGAAATGAGAAAAACGCTCTCAACAACTTGCTCGCCTAAATACACAACAATTGACCTAGTTGGAGGATAATGTGAGAAAGTTAAACGTTTAAATTTGAAGAGGTTTCAAACAGGCTAAATTATCGAAGATTGGGCTGGTGTTTGTTCAGAGGAATTGAATAAACAGACAAAAAAAAATTAAAAAAAAGCCTGAAGGGTGTGTCAATTAATTTTTTGAAAAATAAAAAAAATAAAAAATAAATAAAATTTTAGTCAAACACACAAAAAGTATTGCATTAGATAGGGTGGGTACAGTATGATAAGGCAGGGTAGGGCCGGGCGCGAATACTCTGTAAAGATAGCGTTTGAAAAATCGCCATGAACCTGGCATTGTGTCTTATCGTGGCGGGACCAAATGGAAATTCTCGCGTAAAATATTTTCATAAATTTTTTTCATGGATAATATTTTAATGAATCTCCTTGATTTCACTAGGAATTGCTGTTCTAACTATTGTTTCTGTGTTGTAAAATGCTATTGCTGGCTCGAGTTTTCCAGGTTTTATCCGAGTTTACACTTTTATGTTATTATAGTGTACTTTCCGGTAACGTTTTGAGAACTTTTGCCAGATTTAAATTTAAAAAGCTTTAAAAGTTGATTGGTAAGTATTTTTTTATAATATTTATGTTGTTTTAAATGAATAATCAATTTTTCAGACATTTATCATTATGTTTCAACAGTTTTGATGTGGTTTCGCACTTAGATGTTGGTATAGCGCAATGCCGAGCTAAAAGATGAAAACTTGGACCATTTTTGGACTTGAAAACTTACAGAATGGCTGCAGAAGATGTTAAAGAATGTTTTTAAACTTTTGCGGATGATTCTGGTTCAAAAAGCAGGCTAAGGAAAAATTTCTGCCAGATCCCAACTAAAACAAGGTCAACAAGCGATTCGTAAGTTTTTTATGTCCATTTTTGTTGTTTTAGGTATAAATTGGCTAACTAAGCTAAATCCAAAAGTGCTTGTCGTCTTCCAATTGATTTCCGTCTGTTTTTACCATAATATTGAGTTGATGCAGCATTTTTAGGTAACAATTGAGAATTAAGCAGTGTTTCTGATATTACAA